TTCGGCCAACCAGGCTGCTGGTTTGAAGGATCGGGAGCCCCGGCTTCAATACCGACTCGTCAATTCGAATTGTTGTTGGACGTCCAATGTTCACCTGGCCATGCTGTCTTTCGATGTCGGCATCAGAATAGCCCAAGAATGTGTTGCTGCATGTTGACGCGAGTGGAAGTACAGGTCAGGTAGGTAACGAAGACTTGCAGACAGATGATGACGGGATTGTGGGGCTCTGCTCTCGGGCCGCGTAGGACGCTTGTGGCGATGAGTCGGAAATTCAGCCGTTGTTCAAGCGCCAATCCACAGTACTTACAGTAGTACATATGTAGGTAGGTAAGGTACACAATGGCATATGCATCGCCCTAGTAGGCAAGTACCCGAAATCAACATCCCCATCCCACGCCTTACTAGGTACCGTACAGGTATTGATCACCGTACTATTATTAGTCTACACTAAAGCTTCATTGTTGCCCACCAACACGTTGTCTACTCATGTACGGTACCTACAGAGTAATGTATGCTGTGCTCACCGACTTACATGATATGCATTGATTGCATCATCCAAGACTCGCCCCCTGAAAAGTGAGTACTCTTTACTGTAGGTAAAATGTTCACACCGTTGTTTCCAACGACCATTAATTCAAAACCTACCTATCTCCCTACCTAATCCCGTCTTAAATGTGAGCATGATAAAAGACGCATTCGTCCCAAGCTATTAAGGACCTGTCTCACTTCACTCAGTTCAGGCGAGACTCCTCCATAAGTACAGCCTCGAAGATAGGGAAAACCTCGGAAACTAGGGGGAAAGCTGCAGGCTAATCTAAACAAAGTTTGTTTCATGTCGAATCTCTATCATACATTTGCCCTAAGCTTAATTGAGTAGTTCTCCGCACTACACGTGTACATACTATGTAGCAGGTACGGTCCGCCATGCACCTCAGCCTTAAGAATAAAAAGAAATATTTTCATTGGTTCGCATACTACAGTAGGATTTCTCAAGATCCGAGATTCCCGTATCCACTCACACGTGGGGTGTGGATTTAACAACCGGGCTTACCTGTGTTCAACATTCGCGATAACTTTAAGTTATTACTTATTCCGCAGCATAGTTCTCGCTGTAATTTTACGCCATTTATTTTATTTCTAGGTGAGATATGTAGGTCACCGTTTTCTATTATTAATTTCCACTAGGCTAGGTAATCTAAAGCCTACGGTATTTACCACTAATATGTTCGGCACTAGATACAACCCTCATGCGCCAATGGTGGGACGTAGTAAAAACCTGTTGATGTCTAGAAAGTGATGAATCTGGAAACTGAAATGCACCCGCCGAGCTCCATCAAAAATACTTCACTGGGCAGCTTTGTCTTCCCTATAGCATCCTTCTGCATGAAGACAGGCAGAAGTAGTTGAGCTCCCTTCTCGGCATACTCTGCTTAGTCTGCGGCATCCCGTGAGACAAGGAAAATAGATGGAGGTCGTTAAGTAGCAGTTATCTATATGGATTCCCTGATACTAGTCCTAGGGCCTCATCTTGAATAACAGGCAATTCGAGACAGCGAGAGTACCCTCCGTGACCACTCTGAACAAGAAAAAAGGTTACGCTGCACCGAGTTAGCCAGCTTACTGGCTATGACAACAGCAAACAAACGTATTTTCCGGCTCACGAGGAGTCGGCAACCGCATGCGGGGTTACAAGGCAACCCAACCTAATCAACAAAAGGCCGTTTGCTTGGAACGCATACCTACTTCAGATGACTGCCCGCCCAGTCAGTAACCCAAAGCCACCAATCACATCCCTAGCTTTATTATCTCATGTCCAAGAACCATGGTTTGCTATTAGTATCTTACATAGAATGGTGTAGATAAGGTCCACGTCATGCTATATCTGTACGCCTTGAGCTACCTACCCCTCCTGCAAATGTTGGTGCCAGCCCGGTCCGCGACCTATCGGGAGGATGCAACCATTCTATGCAAATAGGATACTGGCGGTAGATAAGTCTTGATATTCTATAGATTTCTTGATATTCGCCGCGACTTCGTGTTTCGATGTACTTCGAGGGTCACGGCCTCAAGGCAACAAACACCCAGGGCTGACACGTAGATGCGAACAAATGGTTCCGTCTATTATATTTACCTCCATTGCTGTGACAAGGGCTTGGTCTCAAGGGCTTGGAACAGGGTTCATATTCAACTAATAATTCTCTTTGGGTCTCAAGGAGTCTATGTTTCCTTTTCCGATCCCCAATGTAACCTCGCTCCTGCCCTTCTATTTATACGCAGGTCTTGACAGGTCCGGGCGGTCATTGCCGTGTGACAATTGCACGCAGCTTATTCTAGCGTGTTCTCGCTTATGGAATGGTGTACACTACTATGTAGGTAGTAAGTATATAAACACAGCCTTCGGCTGTCCGGCTCATGCGTACGGACTTACGTTCTATCTACCTGAAACAAGAACTCCTGGCGATCAACATCTCACAAGAACTAATCTCATCACGATACACACCTCTCGAAGAAGTACATTACGATATGAAGCCTACCACACCCTTCGTCACCGCAATACTCGCCTCCACGCCCATCGTCAGTGCCGGCCCGGCCGCATATGGCATCTGCCAAACTGGCTGTGCGGCTGTCGTGACAGCATGCTACGCCGCGGCGGGGTTTACTTGGGGGGCGACGGCCGGTATCTCAGCGCCGGCAACCATCGTCGCCTGTAACTCAGCGTTCGGTACCTGTCAAGCCGCCTGCTGGGTCGCCGCTATCGCCCCGACTCCTTGAGGTCGATGCGTGTGTGTGTGTACTCACCAATCTATCCTATGTCAAAACGAACCCCAAAATGAAACCTATGATTCAACGACTAACTGTAGGCAGTATGCCACATGAGTTGAGTCGATTTGCTCATGCTACGATGGATGGCATGTGACCCTATGCTGTCACTGTCATAATGACAATATTGTCTTGCGTAGGGTGTTACGAGGTATCGAAATGATATGTATAATGTGGGGAGAGCATGTGAATTCCAGCTTTCATTTTTTTTTCTTGCGCAGTAATTCCGCTCGCTTTATAGTTTGAATCCCTAATACTATGACATGGTCAATTATTTCACACACAGACTAGCTCGAGTCTTCCGATAATCACTGAACCTTGACTCCCAGTGCCTCGTAGATTGCACCTATGTACGCCTTAGACGCCGTATTTCCGATGACTGAGGCCGATCTCTTGTTCATGGCATACGTAATAGTGACTCGGCGACCGACATCCATGATGCCGAGAGAGCCACCCGAGCCGCCCCAATAAGCAATGTTGCCCGCGGGCATCCAATCATCGACCCAGTCTCCATCGCCTCTGATGGCATATCCGATACCGAAACGAATGGGCGATCCGACGGCGAGGTCCGTTCCATTGGATTGTTCCTCGAAGATCAAGTCGACCGTCGACTTGGACAGCAGTTGCTTGCGCCCGTCAGCACCCTCGTGGCCAGCGAGCGTGACGGTGGACAGTATTTGGTTCATCGCGTGAGCGTTGCTGTAACCATTGGAAGCGCCGATCTCTCCTTGCATCCACGCGGGGCGTCTACCCACGTCAGGGGGCATCATGGGGTTCGCGATCGCCTTCATGAAGAGGGGCCCAGGCTTAAAGTCTGGATTTGGTCCCGACGGAGGTGTTGTCTTAGCGACACGAGGCACGTCTTTCTCTAGGATGCCTAGCTGGAAATCAGCACCCAATGGCGTTGCGATCTTCTCCGTGATAAACTGCTTCAGACTCATCCCCGTCACACGACGTACGACTTCGCTCAGCAGGTGGCCGAAGCTATAAGCATGGTACGCCGACGCCGTGCCGGGTTCCCACCACGGCGCCTGGGGGGCCAGCTTTGCGGCGGACGTGACGGGGTCACAGATCTCGTCCATGGTGACCGTGTCGTCCCAGCCGGCGACGCCGGAAGTGTGCGACAGCAGATGACGTATCTCGACGTTGTCTTTCCCATTGGCGGCGAACTCGGGCCAGTACTTGGAGACTTTGTCGTAGACGGAAATGACGCCGCTATCGACGAGCATGAGGACAGCGAGACTGCTGAACATCTTTGTGCTCGAGGCCACGCCGACGATGGTATCCTCGGCCCAAGGCTCCTTGGTTTCTGGATTCGCGTAGCCGCCCCAGATGTTGACGACTTCCTCACCATCGACGTTGACGGCTATAGAGGCGCCGGTCTCTTCTCCTGACTCGACAAACTGCTGGAGAAGAGAATGAACTTTTTCGAACTGTGGAGTGCACTTCCCGTGTACTTCAGCCATGGCGCTGGTTTCGAGTGATAGAATATAATGATTATTATAGGTATATTGCGACGTAGGATGGAATCAAATGGCAGTTTCCGAGCGGTGAGATATAGTGAAAGAGTGGTAGGTTGGGAGCATCGAAAAAGTTGAGGGGATACTCAAATATATAGCGAAGATCCTGAGGCTTACATACATACACTCGTGTTCGATACCTCGTCGGCGTATATGGGACTTTGATGGTTATTATTCTCTAGACCGGTGACACTACAAGTCGGCGAAATAAATATCGGCGTAGCTGAACGGGATATTACCCACCGATAGGTAGGTTTGCCGCGTAATTGGGCTCTCTTGAGTTCTCTACAGTACGTAGGGCCTACCTCGCATGTCCCGGTTCTAGCCAAGCCCTTTCCGGACGCCGAGTGTGTAAGCGGGGCCGTGGTGCCACCCGGAGCGTGACTCATGCCGTAAGTACTGGTACTAAATTTGTAGTGGTTCGTCCTACCCACCCAGCTGAACAGGTTAGTCTTGATTGTATGGAGGATTTGACGGATGCGGGCTGACAGCATAGATTATTAGGATAATGATGCTCCTGAATGGACAATTGGTAAGAAGATAAAAAGAGCTGTTAACAACTCAGAATGTATATGAGTAGTTTCCGGCAAGGAATTCGGCCAACGCTTCGAATGTCTTATAAACTCCATCTGGATGGTGGATAGATATCTTGCAAAAAGATGTTTCCGCCCGGGATTGAACCGGGGATCTTCTGTGATCATCCTGAAACTAGAACAGAGTCTAGTTGATGCATGTAAGACAGACGCCCTAACCACTAGGCCACGAAAACTGGTCTGAATATCAATCCATGTATGACTGGGATGTTAATTTGGTTACCATACCTCATAAAAGGAACAACAACGCTATACAGGCTAATAGATAGAACGAGAAAAGCCGTCATATAGGGACTTCCAACGCTACCTCTTCCCAGAATGCACATCTCTCTTTGAGCTGGACCAGTTTCGCACTCGCGAACCCAGCGCCATCGATCACCCATTCCTGGCCGGTCTTCAAGTCCGGCAATCCGGAAACGTCAGTTCCTGTAAGTTTCAAGGCATTGGGATCGCCGGTCATGAAGAATGATGCTAAGGCGCCTGTTCAGTCAAGACTTAGCAACATACTCGTAAACAGCTCTATTTTCCCCTAGTTTCGGCAAGGAGTGCGGGATATTGAGAGATTGGCCCACGAACCTGCGTAGCCCTTATAATGCAGAGGATCCAGCTGTTGGGCTGAATTGACCGTGTTCCACTGGGCCCATGATCTCTCGTCAGCAAAACGATGCCAGCAACGAGGCACATACGATGCGTTGATCGGACATACCCAATACACATCGGAGGCATGCTGCGCCGGTGCGATCGTGTATTCTCCAATCCAGCCGCCATCCGTCGCACTGCCCGCCATCCAGTACGCCGGGCACGCGAGCGTCGAGTCTCTGTAGATCAGCCCGGCCCTGGTGAACGTGTCATTGTAGCCCGCGACGTGCTCCGCGCTCCCCACCTCGGGGTACAACTCCTCCTTCAGCTTATCGAGCCGGGACCGTGAGAGCGTCGGGAGATAGCCCGAAACCCATTGATCGAAAGAAGCCGCCGACGCGTTGTTGAACGGCGGTGCGCCCGTGTCTGAGACGCTCTTCAATCCCGGTGGAACGAAATTCTCGCCCTCGTGGGTGTTGTACATCCCATACCCGGCAACGATGCTCCCCTTCTTTCGGCGTGCCGTCGCGGCGGAAAGCGGCTCTCGCAGGAAAACACCATCGATCACGGGGCCCCATTCGAATGTCGACGTGGTATACTTGTGACTATCGACAATGGCGAGGCTCGCGTCGCGGATCTTCTGCACGTCCGCGCTCTTGAGACACTTCAGGCTCTCCGGCCCGGCGCAGCCCGTCAGGTTGGCAAGGGTATCGTATCGCCACTGAGCCTCGGGCGCGTCGACGCGATACGTCTTCGGCCAAAACGGACTCGAGGCGAGGGCTTGTCGAAACAGCGGCTTCTTGGCCTTTCCGTCGTCCCTATTTCGGCCTTTGGCGCTGCTCTCGTGATTCGCGATGGCCTGCGCGAGCACGCTGCCGCCGCCCGCCGACTGTCCCCAGACGGTAATCCTGTCGGGATCGCCGCCAAAATGACTGATGTACGTCCTCGTCCAGCGCAGCGCCATCGCCTGGTCCAATAGGCCGGCGTTGGCGTCCGAGAACGGGTCTTCCGCCACTTCTCTGCCCGGGAGGAATCCGAACGCGTTGACACGGTAGTTCGGATATACGAACATCATGTTGCTCGCATCGGAAACGTTGAGAATGGGGTAGGCGGATGGTGGAAGGGTGAATGAAGCTGACCCCTGGATGAAACCGCCGCCGTAGAAAGTCACGACGACCGGACGTAGCGGCGCGCCCCGCGTCCAAGGCCGGCCGTAGAGCCCGAGGTAGAGGCAGTCTTCCGAGCCGTTGACGGTCCGCTGCGGGCACATGTCAAACGTTTGGGATGAGTCGTAGACGCCGTGGGTGATTGGTAGGGGTGGCTGAGGGACCCGGAACCTACAAAGCGCAAGGTGAGTGAAACATGAGCAATCTTACCGCCGTGATCAATAATTCAAGCCGAGTATATAGAAGTGAGATTTTCTAGATGTTATTTAAGTACCTATTCTGATCTATGGGCGGCGCAGCAAACGGGATTTTCTGCCAGTATGAGATATTGCAGACAGGGTCGAAGGCTCCTTGGAATGTCCCATAATCGAGGGCCGCCGTGAGGACCTGTGAGTCGCCAACTCTTGCGAGAAGGGAAAGACATATCGCACCTATGAGTGAGAGCATAATTACAATCGAGAAATCAGATGGTCAATTCTTCCTTGTGAAGTCTAGAGCATCGCTGCTGTTTATAACCCTGTAAAATGCTGCCCCGTCTACCCTTTACCCGGTGGGCTCGCCATGCACGATTCCCTTCAACCTGGGGTAGGCTATGGAGGAATTTGGAGAACGAAGCTAAGCGGATAGCCAGAGTATGGTTATTAGCTCGGTTCACATTACCCCTTTCACCGAGTCTAGCATTTCTCATAACCTCTCTTATCATGGGGGTGCTTCTACCACTTATGGTATATCCAGATACCAACATTATCCGTTGATGATAACCTCAGTTCATGAAGGGCGTCGTCTCATAAAACACTTATCGCTCGTTTTACCGTTTCCGACTCTCTCGGATAGCTCCCCTAGAAGTATAGGTACCTTATGTCGCACGTTGCTCGACGCCTACTACCTTAACGTTCATATTGCGTCTGTAGTAGTAAAAGAGAGACGCACCACGGGAAGAAACGGTGCCTTCTACCTAATAATTCATTCTTCGTCAAGGTCCTGCTGCATTTCGGCCTCTGAAAAAACTGTCAGACCTTGACATCCATAAAGCATACATGTACTTACGCCAAAGCCGGTTGGCGGAATCTGCTATGACTTGGGCTTTAGCAAGGAGTTTCTCCTCGTACTTTTGTTCGTCTTTAGACTTGTCTCGCAATTTACTTGGCTGCGCCTGTGACTATACTTAGGTCATCTCTGTAAATGGGTAGACTAAACAAACCTGCATGAGGATAGGCACAAGCTCCTTTGGATCTGCATTTGCTAGCGATGCGACAGTCTTGAATCCGTTGTCATAGAAGACCCGGGCTGTCCGACTCTTGATAAAGGTGACCTTAGCGAGGGCTAAAAGATCTGCCTTAGCCCCAGCTCTGAGGCGATCCAAGAAATGATCTAATATCGCTGCCATGGCGCTGATGGGGATCAGCAACTTGAGTCTTTTAGTTGATTAGTATTGTTCAGACCTACCCCCAACCCATTTGCTCGCAGAATTTGATCATTCCTGCCGCAAACCCTTGGCATGTCTGCTCTAGAGTCTGGACAGTACCTCTTGGCATATCGTATTTGCGAGCTACCACATGCACAGGCATTTCGTTACATAGATCCCTCAGCTGTAGAGCAAGGTAGAACCTTCGGTAAACACGAGCTATTTCTTTTTCGCTAGAGGTTGATTCCTTGAGACTTCCACCCTGTGCCCTATGATATACGTTAACGAGTTGACACCGGTCGAGAAGGACTCCGGAGACCTACATTCTGTTAACCACCGTGGGTTTCAACCCAAGAAACGTCATAACCCGGAGTCCGCTTTTGTCAAGTGCTTCCATCTCGGATCTAAAGACTTGCCAATTAACAGAGGTGGATAACTCCTGAACAGGTGTGAAAGTGTAAAGAATATGCATTTCACCATCCATCACGAATGCCTGCAATGCTCGCTGCATTTCGCGATGAACGAATGCACCGTCCGCGGGCTCAAGAGACGACGCAACAACTGCCTTGCCTAATTGTGTTGCGACATAAGAGTCGAAGCTGTCACATTGAATGAATCCCATCTCAACAAGATCCTGTAGACTAGATGTGACGTGATCTTGGATCTGGTCTGATGTGGTAGAGAGGTTTAGAAGCGTTTTCCGAATGTAGTCATTGATAGACTCGCGTGAGTTTACCAGCCGTATGGACACAACTTCTAGCAGTGCTCGTTGAATCCGGTGCTTGTCAGTTGTTAAACCGCTTGATATATGTGGTAGGTCTGCATTCATCAACTCGACCACGTCTTCTAGGTCGGATTTACGGCAGCAGAGATAAGTCTCGCCTATCTCATCTTTACCTTTCCTCCCTGCACGTCCACGCATTTGACGCAACATCGAAGGCCCAATTAAGTCACGACCCATTCGCGCGTTATGGAGGATAACTCTCCGAGCCGGAAGATTTATTCCAGCGGCAAGGCTGCATGTTGCTACCACAACTTTCAGCGCTCCGCCATCGTAGGCGGTGGAGATCAAATCGCGCTCTTCTGTTGTCATCCCGGCATGGTGAAAAGCAACGCCGGCCAAAATAGTCTCAGCCAAGATAGGATCAAGACCCGTCGACAAACTGCGCAGATCATCCAGGAGTTCTGACCGTTTCTCAAGAACAATAGTATCTAGCTCGTTAGCTTGGGGTAGTACCTTGCTAATAAGATGAGCGTCTGACTCGCATCCTTGGCGGCTGCTACAGAAGACGAGAACGCCGTAGCCAGACCTTGCTGTTTCATTCGCCAGCGCAACGACAGCATTCAAGACAGGGTCTTGGAATTCTTTGTGCTGACTTATATGTATTGTCCTCACTGGTTGACTGTCTAGCTCGAGGGCACTGCTGGAATCCTGTCGTAGTTGACTGGCGGTTTTCAGTATGCTTCTTGTGCTTGATGCTGGGTAGATCTTCCCTTCATAGACAAGGTGCTCCTCCACGGGTATAGGGCGATAAAAGGTCCTATATGTGTGGGCATCAAGCCATGTTGACAATACTTCCATGTTCTAGCGCCGTTAGTGGCCGGTAGTAGAACGCCAGCAGCCAAACAATACATACAGCCAAGGTGGCGCTCATGCCAATGATCTGAACGCTATGCTCCAGACTCAGTAGCTTGGTAGCGATGAGCTCCATTAGGTAGCCTCTGTGGTCATCATCAACCATGTGGAGTTCGTCGAGGACTACGGCCTTTAAATTTGTAATAGTGCAATCACCTATAGCTGTGTTAATGAGCATATTTGCCTGTTCGGATTAGAATGCGACTTCAGAAGGCATGCGAAAGTTGACAAACCTTCTCAAACGTGCAAACCCCAATGTCGAAGTCTGACCAGGTCGCCCTAACCTTAGCACCACCAAAAAACCCGACGACCCTCACATTGTCCTCGTCTGGCCGTTTCTGCCAAAGTCCGGGCTTCCCGCCCCGCTCATCAATCTCAAGCGGCTCTCTC